TATCTGATAACTATTCGCTGACAGCTGCCAACATCTGTGAACAAATATAATCCTATAAAATGGTTCTATACACTCGGAAAAATAAAGGTGCCAACTGGAACCAAAAGTGGTTCTTTAGACTGATGCCATAGAAGAACCTTTTTTGGTGCCACAAAGAACCTTTGAAGAACCATTTCTTTCTTTCAGTGGTTCTTCAAAGAACCTTTCAAACAATGGTTGTAGTTCGTCTTCTGCACATTGTAGTTTCAACACGGCAGACTTCCTGTTACAGAGACACCAGTGTAAGGTTGTTCCAGTTCTAAGTGCACTGATGGTGAAGGATCTGTTTCTTTGTTTATTTACTTGTTTGTTTTGTTTCCGTGGTTATGGAACATGCTGTTGTTTGTAAACATGATTCAGCTGCTTCAGCTTCTTGTGAAATCATCTCCGATGTGACGTCGCAGAAACTGGAGCTTCAAGTGTCAACACCTGATCATGTGACTGCCTCACGGTGATGTCATCACTCATGACAAACAAAAAATAAATAAACAAAAACAAAAAGGACCCTTTGGTGTTGTTCTTAGCTGCCCAACCAGAGTGCGTGCAGAGATGTGAGTGTACTGGAGGACCTCGTCTTATCAGTTACCTTCAGGGTCAAGCCTGGGTTTAGGGTAAATTCTCCTGGCCTGAGAAGATCTCAAACACAGACCTGTGGAAGAGAACCAGCCAGAACCCGGTCGGTCAAGACATCAAGAAGAGAAAATGGGGCTGGATAGGCCACAAACCACTCGACAACGTCGCAAGGCAAGCACTGGACTGGAACCCACGAGGGAAAAGGAAAGCAGGGAGACCCAAACAGACGTGGGGAGGATGTGTCGAGAGCGCAGTGAAGTGGACCCAGAACAGAGTCCGTTGGCGTGGTGTTGTTGCGGACCTGTGCTCCCCCCGGAGTCAACAGGAAAATTGATTGATTTAGGGTAAATCGCCATGGCAACATGCTGTGAAGATCCAGATTACAGATCTCCGGGTATGACATCACTGCCTGCTGACCAATCAGTTCTCCAGAAAATACTGTCGCCATTCCTGGAAGATCCCTCACAGCTCTGTGTGAGGCTGTGAAGTTTTTACTAGTGTGATGTTTTAATAAATAAAACATCACACTATGATGTTAGAAACCAACAGCAGAAAGTGATACAGGTGAGTGCAGGTGTACCTGGTGCTGCCCTGTTTGTACATGTCAATGATGTTCTCCACTAGCAGGTTCCTCTGCAGGCCATAGACACCGTGTCGGTCCAGAACCACCTCATGTCTGCAGGATGGGCAGCGGAAACGACCGCCGGACGTCACAGTGGAGCCACTCCGTGTCGACAGGTACGGGTTGGATGCCTGCAGGGGGCGGGGCATCACACGGGTAAGGAAAGAAAAGACGGTTCGTGAACTGAATTTCTGATGGAAGGTTTTAGACGTTTGTAAGTGAGAGCACAGAGAGCACAATGAAACACAAACAGGCCGACAGGTAAAGCAACAAGCTCCGCCCATCACCCTGATCTGGATAA